TGTCTGTGTTAATTGGTTTCCCTTTTCTTTGTTGAAGAGGGTCTGTGCAATCCTTCTGCCTAGTCCGCCATCTTGCCCCGCCTTAGTTTTTATTTTTTAAAGACGTTTTAATTTTCAAAATTTACATTTTTAATATAATTTTCAGAAAGCTTTATTTTTAAAGACTTTTTAATTTTCAAAAAGTTCAAAAGTCTTCCCAGTTTCCTGATGCTTCATTCATTTGACAAATCCGTACTGAGCACGGACTGTGTGCAGCACTGCTCTAGGGCCCAGGGTGCAAGCAGTGAACACAAGTAGAAACACCCCCCCCAGGAGCTGGTGTGAAAACAACTCAACAAATAGAATCATTTCCTATCATGTGTGCCCTGTGGAAATAATCAGGAAGATGTGCAAGAGAGCAGTGGAGTGAGTGGTCGGGGCAGGCCTTCCTGACCTGAGGAGGGGACAGTTGAGTTGAGCGCCTAAAGGTGCCATGTGAAGGCGGGTGAGGGTGAGTGTCTGAGTTCTCTAGTGCTGCGATAACAGAAATACCACAAGTGGGTGGCTTCAGCAAACAAATTTATTTTCTCACAGTTTTGGAGGCTAGAAGTCGGATTCCAGAAGCCAGTTCAGGGGGCGGGGTTTCTCTCTCTGTGTCAGCACTGGGGGAAGGTCTTTGTCCTTGGTTCCTTGGAAATCTTCATGTGATATGGCCTCTGTCTTCCCCCATCTTGGCTTGCTTGTTACGCCTAATCTGTTTCTGTATATCTCAAAGATGATTGGCTTAAAACACAGTCTACCTGGATTAGGGCCTCTTGACATAACAAAACCTTTTTTCTAAATGGGATTATAACCATAGGTATAAAACAAAACTACCAAACTCTTTGCCACAGAATTGATTCTGATTCACAACAACTCTATAGGACAGAGCAGAACTGTTTCTCGGGTTTCCAAGGCTGTAATCTTTAAGGATCAGCCTGCCACACCTCTCTCCTGTGGAGTGGCTGGGGGTTAGAATTTACTACACATGTACTGGGGGGACACAATTCCTTTTGTCCCAGGCAAAGATGACAGTGAGTGTAAAGGCTGAAAGAGGGGAACAAGAGAGATGGAAAAGAAGCCAGGGTAGCTAGAAAGGGCGGCTGAGGGAGAGAGAGGATGAGATGACGGGGCAGACTGTGCAGAGCCTGATTGGCTGAACTGATACTTTGACTTTTAACCTGAATGTGATGGGGTCAAAGGGCCTCTGGCTGCGCAGTGTATAAGTTACTTGACTGCTAGCCAGAAGGTTGGTGGTTCAAACCCTCCAGCCACTCCATGGAAGGAAGATGGGGCAATCTACTTCCATAAAGATTTACTGCCATCAACTGGATGGCAGTGGGTTTGGTTTTTTTTGGTTTGGTGATGGGGCCCAGGTAGAGAGTTCTGAGTGGAAGGGAGATTGGTGACCTGCCTCAGGTTTTCACAGAGTCGCTCAGGCTACTTTGTGGGGAACAGAGTGTGGGGCAGGAGTGAGCCAGCTGCTGTGGTGGTCCAGGTGGGTGTGTAAGGCAGAATCAGACCAGAGTGGACACTGTGCAGGGGACAGAAGTTTGTGGGTCTTGAATCTGTTTTGAAAGCAGAGCCCTCTTTCATAAAAAGAAGACCAGGTTTTCCAGTCTGATAGAGCCTGGTGAGACCCCTGAAACTATGTCCCCTAGTTACCCTTCAGGTCTAGAACTGAACTCACTCCTGTGGCTTCCAGCCAAACAACAGACAAGCATAAGGAATGAACATTTATATCAGGTAGACACACTCCTGGGAGCGATCATTTGTGGGAGAACAGATGAGCATGGTTTGCACAGGAAGATAGCTGGGGGGTAGGGGTGGCAGGAGTGCAGGGGAGGGAAGGACATGGAGAAGAGGTAACTGGGGAGGAAGTGGGAAGAGAGCTGTCATATTGTGGGGAATCGTAGTCAATGTCATGAAACAAAATGTGTATGAACTGCTGTATGGAAAATGAATTTGCTCTGTAAACTTTCACCCAAATCACAACAAAAATTAAAAAAGAAAAAGCAAGCAGAGCCCTCCGGTTTGCTGGTGGCTCAGGAGTGGGCAGTGAGATAAAAGAGAGGAATCAAAAATGACTCAAAGGTTTTAGTTAAGCACTTAAGTGGGTGGTGATGCTACTCCCGAAATAGGTAAGGCTGTGGGAGGAGAGGTTCTGCAGTAGAAATCAAGACTTCAGTTTTGGGCACCTAGTTTGGGACACCCATTAGATATCCACAGAGTGAAGCCAGGGAGGGCTGTGGCTGGCTGTCAGTCTGGATTCTGGGGAGCAGTAGGGCTGAGGATGTAGACTTGGCGACCACTGACATGAGGTTGCATTTGGAGTCTTGGGCTCTGATAATATCTCCACAGAGAGTGTAGTTCTCAAGATGGGGGTGCAGAACCAAAGCCTTTAGAGGTCTGGTAGAGATGGAGACTCCAGCAAAGGAAGGTGACAGTCATCAGGGAAGGAAGTATTTCAACAGAAGAAGTTGAACCGATGGATAATACCAAGCAGAGAGCAGCAAATCCCAAGATCAGAGCCCAGAAGTGAATGGAGAGGGTAGGGTCCCAGCCTCTGTGGAGGGGTGGGCTTTCCAGAGGAACAGTGTCACTGTATCACACAGGACGGGAGGCAGGTCTGTGAATCAAGGGTAGAAGGCGAGGAGTTCCCGTGTGACAGTGTCTCCACACTCTGTGGTTTCTACAGCCTTTCATGATTCGCAAAGCCTGTTACTCATTTAGAAAGCGTTTTGCAAAGTTCTTAACTTTTTACAAAGCACTTTTTAGAACCAGAAAATGTTGCTCTGTTCACACCCCAAAGCAGCATTTTGCAAACCACATGTTGCAACCCATCATGGGTCATTAATTTGATAGCAGCATCTGTACAAATAAAATGGAACATGGCAGAGTGTGTTGCATAGTGAAAGTCAGAATTGTGTCATGAATTATGTGTTTTCGGTTATGTGTTTGAGTGTTTTCTGAGTCATACTATAAACAGTATTCTTACTGCAAGTCATGACCAAAAACATTTGACAAACTGCCCTGGGGAAGAACCTCTTGTAAAGTGCACGGGGGATCAGCACAAGAACATCTAATGAAAGCGCTGTCTGTAAAATTAAAATTTGGAAATAACCTAAATGCCCACCATCTGAAGAACAAAGAATGAGATAAGTGATATATTTATTGAAAAGGAGTACTACATAGCAATGAAAATGAATACATTTGATCTGTATTTTTAAATAATCAAGAATAGATCTTGGAAACATACCAAAAAGCCAAACTTACTGCCATGGAGTCAATTCTGACTCATAGCGACCTCCATTGGGTTTCCAAGGCTATAAATCTTTACGGAAGTAGACTGCCTCACCTTTTTTTCCAAGGAGTGGCTGGTGGGTTCAAACCACCGAACTTTTGGTTAGCAGCCAAATGCCTTAACCACTACACCACCAGAGCTCCTTTTGAAAACATACAGTTGAGTGAAAAACACAAGTTTCACACTATAATAGCAATTCTCTAAGTTTAAAAAAATGCATTGAATATTGTTTGCAAAAAAAATACGTCACCATGAGTATTTATTAATTCTGCATGGTGGGAACATGACTGTTTGCTCCTAGTCAATAGTCAGAGGCCAGGTGTCAATTATTAAGTTGCTGGAAGTGGTGGTAGGGTGGACAAAAGGAGTCTTGGGGCAGGGGCTGAAGTGGTGGTGGTATAGCTCAGGGTATCAGCAGAAAACAGCCCATGCAAACTGAGTAAGTTGAGGAGAGTTTAAGAAAGGGAGTGTTTGCAAACCTTACAGTTCCTGGGTGGCACAAACAGGAGCTCACCTACTAACTGAAAGGTTAGCAGTTCGAAGCCACCCAAGGGTGGAACGAACGGCCTGGAGATCAACTCCTGAAAGGTCAGAAAACGTTCTGTTCTGTGAGTTGGAATCCACTCTGTGGCAACTGGTTTGGGTTTTTTGTTTCATCTATTACAAAGCTATGGGCGTGGTGTGGGCAAGCCAGAGAGGCCTGGCAGCCATTGCCACCTGGAGGGAAGAGTGGTTACCTAACCCTGAGATAGAAGGAACTGTTAGGAGAGGGCCTCAGCGCAGGACCTCTGAATTAGGAGCAAGCAGGTCAGCAGGATGAAGCCGAGGAGGCTCCTCCTCCCTGATCCCGATTGGCTGGACCCCAGCGGAAGCCAGCCACTGGGCGAGACTACTGGAGCAGACCACGGGACCATCAGGGAGGGGGGCAGGTGGACAACGGGTCTGGAAGGGCACACTGGGGGGGCATTTGGAGAGCGTGGTTCGAGGTCTCTGTCAGTTGGCCAAAGTACCAACTTTAATCAGTTCTAAGAGGCACATTGTACCCACTCTGAAATGGAATATACATCCGACTGTGGATGGCGGTTCGGCTTTGTAGAAATACAGCATTTCAGTACCTTAGTTGCTGGCACAGTATCTTAGTGACTGGTATACCAGGGCTGCCTTAGCCATGCTGGTGGCATGGGTGGTGGCAGCCTTGGCGCTAGTGATAAGATTTTGGACTCTCCTGCCCTTATGGAAAAAGAGCTCTGGTGGTGAAGTGCCTAAGACATTTGACTGTTAACCAGAAGGTTGGCGGTTCAAACCCACCAGCCACTACGCAGAAGGCAGATTGGGCAATTTACTTCCTTAAAGATTTACCACCTTAGAAACCCAAAGGGGGTGGCTATGAGTTGGAATCAACTCCGTGGCATGAGTTTAGTTTTTGGTTTGTCCTTATGGAAAGTTCACAGTTATTTTTAAAATAGCATTGAGATCCCTGTCATCTGCTGACCTACCCTCTACCCTCTGTTCCCCCCCCCCCGCCGCCCACACACACACGCACAGGCCATGGACAGCCAGAAGCAGTTCACGGGACCAGAAATCCAATTCCTGCTTTCGTGCTCCGAAGCAGACGAGAACGAGATGATCAACTGTGAGGAGTTCGCCAACCGCTTCGAGGAGCCGGCCCGAGACATCGGCTTCAACGTGGCGGTGCTGCTGACCAACCTGTCGGAGCACGTGCCTCACGACCAGCGCCTGCGCAACTTCCTCGAGCTGGCCGAGAGCATCCTCGAGTACTTCCGGCCCTACCTGGGCCGCATCGAGATCATGGGCGCCTCCCGCCGCATCGAGCGGATCTACTTCGAGATCTCGGAGACCAATCGCGCCCAGTGGGAGATGCCCCAGGTCAGCTGGCCCGTGCACGTGCATGCCCGCTCGTTCACGGGTCTTCTGTGTGCGTGCCCGTGCCCACGCCTTGAATGCTTGGAGTCTACATAGTGCTCTGTGTGCCTTGCACATCTGTCCTGTAGGTCCTAGTGAGCTCCTGATGTACCCAGGCAAGCCTGTGTTCTCCCCTTTGCATATATGCACGGGCCCTGCTGCATCTTTGCACATCCCTGACCCACCCATATTCCCCTCTTACAGTTTTCCTTTGCGGAGATGTACAGCCCTTGCATGCAGCAGCATAGTGTGCTCTCACTGTGGCTGCTTGCGCGGCATGCCTACCCCTTGCACACTCACCACGTGAGATCTCACGTGCCCTTAAAGGCCTGACGCAGCCACACCTACTCACATACTTGGCCTACTTTGCTTACCCTCCCAGCAGGTCCGCTGTGCTCTCTGTTGGCCCTGACCCGCCTACGCCCGCCCACTCCTTTACACACTCAGTGTGCAAAACATGCTGGCCCACCCTTCGCCAGTCATCCCATGTGCCCTTAAATGCCCCCTGAGGTCTTAGCACACCTTCTCCACCCCACTTATGCTGATCCCATACACTGAACCTGAGGTTGCCAGTGTGCCCTCCAGCAGTGCCACCAACACCCTGTGGTCAATCACCCCTTACTCATTTAACACCCTTCCACACACACACACAGGCCTGCCCTTACTGGAGCTCTAGCCAAAACCAAAGGAAAAAAAAAAAAAAAAAACTCACTGCTGTGGAGTAGATTCTGACTCATAGCGACCTCTCCTTAGGTTTCTGAGGCAGTATCACTACAGAAGTAGATTGCCCAACCTTCCTTCCGCCCAACCTTCCTTCCGAGGAGTGGCTGGTGGGCTTGAATCGCCAGCCTTCTGGTTGGCAGTCAGATGCCTTAGGCACTACGCCACCAGAGCTCCAGCACACCCATGATTTCCCCTGCACACTTGGACCACTCTCAAACTCATCCACAAGGGCCCCCACATGTCCCTGGGTGGCCCATCCTGCTCCTGGGCCTGATGTGCCCTATCTCAAAACTCTCACATTGCTTGAATGTTCCTCACACTTCCCACAAGAGTATACACACGTGGCCCTGGCACGCCCCAGCCCACTGTGCGCACTGATTGTGCGCAGGTCCCACCTCCCACTCTCTGGCACTCCTCACTTGATCTTTACTTGCCCTGGGCCCCCAGCCCCACATTGTCACCCTGGCGGCCCTCCTGCTTACACTGGCCTTGCACACTGAACCTGCACACCGTTTACACTCATACTTCCCTTTGGTTCCTCACATGCCCCTGGGCACCTGCACTCTCTTCCCACATGCTCTTGCACACCCTCCCCATCTGGCACTTCCAACCCATGAGCCTTGCATACCACCTCAATAACTGGGCCCTGTGTCTCCTCCTCACTGGCTCATACTCACCTGGGCTTATGTTCCCCGCTGAGTCCTGTCCTCATTTCCTCAGAGCCTCTTATATTGTCTCTGGAGTCCCCTTTGCACACTCATGCCTGCCTTACACACATGAACCACATGACTTGCAGGCCCTTCTTACACTTAAACCTGTTTATGGCCCTACATCCACCCTGATAGTCCCACCTTTTCAGCATCCTTGCACACCCCCACATCCCTTTCACACCTACTCTCCCCTTAGTCCCTGGTGGCCCTCCACATACTCCATGGGAACCCTCGAGTTCTTGCACACTTGTGGCCTTTAGGGCATCACTGCACACTCATCCCAACTAGCCCACACGTGACGGCACTGTCTTTGTACCCAGTGTGTCTGCATATGCCCGCATCAGCCAGAAGCCCCACTCAACACAGGCCTCTCACACTCACTTCCTGTATGTGCCCTAGGAGCCCCACTGCCCCCTCCCTCCTTTCCCCTCACATGCTCCCAACGGGCCCACTCTTTCCCTTAGTGTTGCTCCTCTGGACACCTACTTCCTCCTACTTATTCCTTCTGGTCCCCACTTCCCAGTACTTGTATGTATGACCACACACAGACTCCAGCACTCACGCAGCCATATACTAATAATAGCCAACACCATGTGGTGTTTATTAGGTCCCAGGGGCCCATCAACATCTAACTCAGCACCTATTAACGCCTGTAATCTTCACAACAACCTTGTAACTTCTATTCTCATTTACTGTAGGGATTAGCTCAGGCCCAGAGAGTTGTCAAAGGCAGACTCAATACTGGAGCCAGCCTGTTTGGAGTTCGAATCCCACTTCTGCTACTTCTCAGTTCTGTTGTCCTGGGCACGCACCTCTCTGGGCCTCCATTTTCTCCTCTGTGAAGTGGGGATAATATAGCTCCTACTCCCTAGGGTTGCTTGTGAGGATTAAATGAGACACTGTCTGCAAAATGCTGGGTGGTGTAGTGCCTAAGGCATTTGACTGCTAACCAGAAGCCTGGCAGTTCAAACCTACCAGCCACTCCTGGGAAGGAAGACTGGGCAATCTACTTCCATGGTGAAACCTCCTCAGAAACCCAAGGAGGGGTGGCTATGAGTCGGATCCGACTCGATGGTGGCCGTGAATTTGGTGTTTTTTTTTTTTTTTTTTTTTTTTTGAGAAAGGGCCTGGCCTTCCCGAAGGGCTGAGAATGCCCAGTGAGCGCTCTCCAGGTTTGCTAGTAATAATCACAGCAGCAACAATGCTTTTAGCACTGCCGCCTTCTAGGGTACCCTCGCGGCTACCGGTGCTGTCGCTGTGGTCCCACGGCCCCTGCATCCCTCCTGCAGGTGAAGGAGTCCAAGCGCCAGTTCATCTTCGACGTGGTGAACGAGGGCGGCGAGGCCGAGAAGATGGAGCTCTTCGTGAGCTTCTGCGAGGACACCATCTTCGAGATGCAGATCGCCGCGCAGATCTCGGAGCCCGAGGGCGAGCCCCAGGAGGACGAGGACG